TCGAGCTGCTAGACTATATTTATGGGGTTTGCAAATTTACTTAGCCTCCCGAATAGTTAGGGGTGTGTTCAGTTCACGTGTTTATACACTAAGAATGTGAATCAAAATCATAGTTATTGTTTGGTTGACAACTTTTTATAACACAATTATTGGATTTGATTACCCCTTCAATTAAGAACCCCATTCCCTAATTAAAAATGAGTAAATGAGTATCATTCCATCTTATATTGGTAATATAATTTTTAAGTTTGAATTAACGCTTTTAAATTTTTTGTTGTGTTGGTGTTTTCAGTGCTTTTAATGTCATTGTATTAGAATAAATTATTTGATTTTTTGTTTTTGTATTTTTAAAACTTTTATTCCTATTGTAGGGTCATATGTAACCAAACATTAACAGGATGTTTGGTTGAAGGGAATTTAAATTCCCTTCCCACTTAATTCCCACCTAATTCCAAATGCCACAAAATTCCCTTGTTTGGTTGAAAGGAATTGCAATTCCCCCATTTTCATGGAATTAAAATTACCCCTTCCCTTTTTTAACCTAAAATTAATGCTCGACAATAACAATGGACATTTTAGACTTTATATTACTTATTCCCTTTCAATTCCCATGTATACCAAACATTGGAATTGAATTTCCCAGTAATTCTACTCCTGTAAACCAAACACTGGAATTTAAATTCTCACTTTATTCCCAGTAATTCATCTCCAATGGAATGTAATTCCTTTCCCACGTAATTTCCCCCTCTCCAACCAAACACCCTGTAATATTGGTAATCATTCTAATTCCACCATACTACCAACCATGTAAAATAATTCAACAAAAACTCATTATCATTATCAAGTATTTGATTGGCATTCTGATTCTGATTCTTATGCATGTGCGAACCAAACACACCCTAGATTATGTACTACGTCTTTTATCACATTAAAATCTTAAAACATTTATTAGTTAGTCTAAAATAGTGAACATTATCACATTTAAATTATAAACTTTTAATTATTTAGAGTAAATAACAAAGGTTTAATGCATCAATGTTACGAAAGTATGGTTTTATTCTCGAATTTGACTATCGATCAATATTTCAATAGATTTGGTGACAACAATTAAATTTAATAAATTCTCAATAATTGTTTATCAATTATTTTAAAAAATATCGTAATAGCCAAGGGAAAATGGGATATATAGTGAATAATTAATAAATAAAATAAAATAAAACAAAATAAAAAGCGGCCCGTATGCGTCAATCAACATAATTGGGGGAAATCAAATTGGGCCTACAGACAATGAATTCTGCTGACCTTTAGACCTCGCTCTCAATGGACAGTTGTGATACCAATCATTATTGTATGGATCATAGCACAATCATTATTGTATGGATCATAGTCCACATTGCTATGTGAACCATGATCGTCAAATGAAATTGTAATATAACTAAAATGATACTTTAATGTTACTATAATAAAATTAGTGTGTGTAAAAAAATGAAACAAAAAAACAGAGCTCATTCAACAATGTATATTGTCAAATGAAACTGGAGTATAATTAAAATAATAATTTAGTATTGCTATAATGAAACTAGTGTGTGTAGAAAATGAAACTGAAAAAGAATAATAATATTGTCAAATAAAATTGAAGTGTAATTAAAATCATACTTATTTCATGGACCACACTGTTATATGCATTGTGGTCCACAGTAAAATTTGCCCTCAATGGACGCATATGAGAGGTTGAGACAATAATAATCACAATTATAATGACAGATTATGGAATTTAAGTATTGATTATCAATATTGTCCAACCCACACCACACATAACACGTGAAATACCATATGAATCTGGCCGGTGCACAACTAGTGGCACCCTCAGCTTTCTCTATCAGATTATAACACTGATGTATGAATGAAATGACACGAGTCTCATGATTTGAATCATAGTACGTGACTGAATTTATATCATACAAATAGTTTAAGAGAATTCCTTAAATATAAAATTATGAACCAATCAAAGTGTCCAATAAAATATGTTTATTGAAGATCTATCTACAAATAATGCTATATAGACCAAAACAAAAGTCAATATTCCATTTTTATTAATTTATTTTTAAAACAATCAAGGACCACCAAGAAGATAAACTAAATACAACTCGCACCACGAACTTTCCTAAAGCTAGGAACACTAGTTAGGTATTTTGCCAAAAATATATTGGAGCGTCACATGGATCACCTAAAGCGATTGCATCCTTACATGTTGTAAGGAGAAAGTCGTAAAAGAAAAAAAAAAAAAAAAAAAACTAGCCTATTTTATTGTCGATAGGTATAGACTATCCAAATCTCCTATCAATCCATTTCTCTTTTACAAACTTTCACCAAGTTACCCATAATAAAGATATAGATGAAATAACGTGTGTCGATCTCTTATATTTAAATAAATTAATTTCAATATGTGGAGTGACAAAAAAACTTTCACCAATTAAGTTCATCAAATTTTCCTAGCGGACACCTCACCACGACACCACCTAACAACCACTTAATCATCAAAATTTATCATTTTATATTACTTTGCCGTATAGAATAGTCAATTCAGAGTTTACTAAAATTAATTTAAAAAAAGAAAAGCAGGTAATATTTCCACATCTCACATTATCGGATAACATCGTGATTTTACATTAATAAACGAAAGTCTACAGGCATCGTTTTCACTTTCCATCAAGGCATCAACGTCGTCCTACTACGGAAATGAAAGAATCATAAAACAATTTTCATTTCGCCACCTTGTAGTGTTTTCTACGTTAACATTATTATTATTATTTTTAAAATATTATTGACTCTTAATAAAAATAGTATTTGCTCAATACTTTCTCTAAATTCTAAATTATTGCAGTCTAAAGAGTCAATATCCCACCACAGGGTTCGATCATGTGACCCTCCCTCAAAGGAAGCCACAGATGTGTCATCTAAACACAAGGGGTGTTTGGCTCGTTAACATTATTTATTCAATGCTAAACATACACAACAAACATATTGACCCTGTTTGGTAACATAGTTAGTTTATCAGTCAATTTTAACTTATTTTATCATTATTAGCTGTTTGACTTGGTTAAATAACCAATATCTGTGTGATTGGTTAACTCTTTGTAACAACTTATTACTCCAAAACGCTAAAATTTAAAAAGTTATTTTTATCAACTTTTTGCGAAAGTCATTTTGCATGTAATCAGCTATCAGCCGTTATTTAACAACTAATTTACTAAACATCTTTCTACAATCAGCTAATAAATACTGTCAACTAGTCAAACTCACTGACCTAATCAACTTACCACTGTCTTTACCAGAGACAATACATAAATTAATAATTATTATCCGAAAGATATAATTAATAATTCTACATTAAAAAAGTATATAAAATAATAAAATATATAGCCTACAATCGAAGTTGACTATCTATGAAATATTGTTAAATCCGTCACCTTAACATAACTTGTGCTAATTAACAAGTTTACGTACAGTGACCTGATTTTACAAAGTTTGATATTTATTTATTAACTACTTTTTATTAAGTTTTTTCGAGCATTACGCGAATAAAATATTGTATAATATTTATTTTTGAATAACAGATTGTTTGATTATTTTTCAAAAAATTAGTAAAATTGTAAAATTAAAACAAATATGCTCATCATATTCTCACCTATAAACAATCCATAATACTCATTTACAAATTAAAGTTATAGAAAGCATAATCAGATAAATAAATTCATAAAAATAAATAAAAGAAATTGATTTCCACACAGCCAGCATGTTTTCGGCTGTGGGGTTTTGTCTCCACATCTTAAAATCGTCTCCGGTGGTCGAAGTGGAGAAAAAAAATATTCAACAATATTTTTTTTTAAAGGAAAATTATCTTGGTAGAAAGATGGTGGAAGAAGAGATGAAGAAGAAGCCGTTGGAAAGGAGATGAGGAAGAAATCGTTGGAAAGGAAATGAAGAAGAAGCCGTTGGAAGGAGATGAAAAAGACACCTTCGCCTCTCTGAATTATTTTTATAAAATATATGCATGTCCTTAAAAATATCTAATAATAAACATCTATTTACAAATCGCTAAATGCTATTCCGTATATGTCAATTAAAGAGAGACATTGTGATACTAACCAACAAAAGTCGAACTTAAATTTTTGTAATTACTAAATTAATAATTTGACTAATTTAGTTGGAGTTGGTTCTGTTAACCGTTCACAAACAATATTATTGTATAAAAAATTAACAGGGACTCTTGTCATTGTATAAAAAAATAATGACATGGACTAACTAGAAGATTGTTTGGCGAATCCAGCAACACTTGGGTAGGGATTAAAGGGGTTTAGGATTAGTTTAGTGGAAATATAATGTATAAAATAATAAACAAAAATATTCAAACGAGATCATGTCAGTAGCTGTAAAATTGTACGAGGTATGGCTGTTTTAAAACACAACAATTATACTGTTGACCATCATCTAAAACAACAGACACTGTAATGTATTTAAATTGATACTGTCTCACATATTATTTTATTATATTATCAAATAAAACTGCAATTGAATTAAAATGAAACTGTATGTCTGTATGTATTGAAATGAAATTGCAGTGTATACAAAAATAAACTAAATAACAATTTCACATATTTGAGTATATATTGTCTAGCAAAATTATAGTTATATCCAAATAATATTATAATTGTGTTAAAATAAAACTGTAATACATATTTAATGTCTTGACCATAATGCATTGTGGATCCACAGTATAATTTGTCTTTAAAACAGGTGTGACGCTGAGAGGCCCATTAAGGCAGGCCCAATACTGCTACATATATGCACTTTTAGCCCAAAGAGAGCATCGATTCCAGCGAAGCGTAAAGCGTTAATGGAATAATGGCCACGAAAAATGGTGAGGGTAAAATATGTGATTTCCACGTGGATTCTGGCGATACGACACGTGGCATGCTGAGCAGGAACAAGATTCAGTGTCTGCTGTAGACGACTTGGGGGGTGGGGGGAGCTGCGGACCGCGTTAAGCTTCTTCTTCCAAAAATGAAAAACCAACCATCCCGAAAAAACGAGACCCGAATAGGCGAATCCGAATCCAACTCTCTGAACCCTAAAGCCAGCTTCGTGATCGTCGGGTTTTCAGGTTGATCGCCTCGTGTTAACCAGAGAATTCCAATTCTTTACTTGGATACTCCGGTTTCTGCGTTCCCTTACACCCGAAGCTAATTGTCGAATAATCGCGATTCGCAACCATCGATTTCTTCAGGTTCGTCACTTGAATTTGTTGCCCACTTCGGAATACTGTCTCGCTTTTCCGGTGTCTGGATGAATTCCCAAGTTTGGGTTTTTTAGGGTTTTTTTTTTTTTTTTTTTTTTTTCTTGTCCTGGTTGTGGACCTTGTGGTCATGTTTAGGTCTTCGTTTATTGTTCGTTAATGATGACTTCAAAAATCATATTTGGACTTTCAATAAAGGGTTTCGTGCAATGTAATGGTGTTTCTTTGCTTAAGCAATAGAATGTTGTTTTGCTTAAATTTTCATTTTGTTTTCTTTTTCTGAATGATAATACCTTTACTTGCATCCAAAAAAGACGTGGAATTTGGATTTTGATATCGGTTTACTGATTCACTACCCAAACATATCTTTCAAGGGTTGTAAGTTGAAAAGAATTCATCTTTATTATATGTTTTCTAATCGAGGCCCTGTTTCCTGTGTGAATACAGGGATCGGAAACTGATGGCCACAGCAACAATGGCCACTGCAGCTGGTGCAGCTGCACTTTTGTATTATACATTAAATAGGAAGTTACAATCTGACTCACCAACTGAAGATGTTGACGATGATGAAAATGGGGATGATGGGCATAGGGGCGATAGACTAGTAGATGACAGAAATGACAGAATTTCACATCGACTAATACAAGCCCCAGCTACATGGTTAGAGACTATTTCAACCTTGTCAGAGACTCTGAGATTTACATACTCTGAGACGCTGGGTAAGTGGCCCATTGGGGACTTGGCGTTTGGCATCAGCTTTCTGTTAAAGAGACAGGTAATTTTGTACATGATAAATTCAAATTGTTCTTGAAAAAGATGTGTTAAATGTAGGATAGAGATGTACTTTACTCTTCAGGTGGTACTAATCAAATTCCTACGAAATCAAAACTGAATCATATGGCTGCCACTAAAATGATCTTTTGTTGGCCATTATGATTCCTGGTCTAGTTCTTGTTTTTAGAGCTTGGCTTCTGATCAGGTGCATAAAAATTGCAGGGAAATATACATGTTAGCAGTATATTTGGCAGTGAAGGTTGTTCACAGCTTAAAGGACCTGAAATTGCTTCAGAACTTAAACGTCTTTTAACCTTGTTGACACTTTGTTGGCATTTTTCAAAGAAGCCATTTCCATTATTCTTGGAGGAGACGGGTTATTCTGAAGAAAGTGTTCTTCTGCAAGAACCGAAAGCTGGGGTACGTTATCATTTATAAATGCTTTTTCTTTTGTGTTTATTTCTTTTTAGGTTTCTGCTTTATAAAGATCTCATAGAACTTTTCTCCGTTAGTATTGTATTGTTACCAATCACTAGTTATTACAAGATTTATTTTAGAAAGATATTGTCAAATTTCCTTTATTTATTGGTCCAGACCTTTGACTTGGTTAGGGAGGGGGGGAAGAGGGTGTTGAAGAAGAGAGAATATGCCTTTGATATGGCATAATAGAAATTTGCAGTCAGGAAAAATAATCTGAAAGAATTGATTAACATTTACCCTCTTCTAGATTCTAGAATCTAAACTAAAAAGCTATTCTGCAGATTCTGAAGCCAGCTTTTACAATATTGGTTGACCACAGTTCAAAATCTATCCTCCTATTAATTCGTGGAACTCATAGCGTGAAGGATACTTTGACTGCTGCTACTGGGGCAGTGGTTCCATTTCATCATACTGTGGTACATGAGGGAGGGGTAAGAAATTTGGTTTTAGGTTATGCACACTGTGGAATGGTTGCTGCTGCTCGTTGGATTGCAAAGCTTTCTACTCCTAGTCTTATAAATGCACTTGGCAACTATCCAGATTACAAACTTAAGGTACATTCAGCTTTTTTTGGGGCATGCAATAGTGTGATTAACCTTTTCTGCTTGAGACCATACTCATTTTTCCCTTTCTTTTCATTCTCTGCAATTTTTTTTTCCCTATGGCGGGTTGCCTGGTAGATTACAACATAATGCTATTTGTCTCCTCTATTAAGCTGTCAGATATTTCAGTGCTTCGTGAATTCTGATGTATTCAAAAAGTCATGTCATATTTACTTTAGTGATTCATAGAATCTGTTTCATTGGCTCAGATTGTGGGGCATTCCTTGGGTGGTGGCACTGCAGCTCTTCTAACTTACGTACTACGTGAACAAAAGGAACTATCTACAGCAACCTGTGTAACATTTGCTCCAGGTAGATTTATAATTGCTTCAGGAACTTTATTTATTTCCTATTGATTTCTTATTTATGTATAAAACTGACTTGATTATATGGTGTTCTTACATATTGGCTTTGTAACTAGTTTTCCTTTTGCATCAAATCAATTTACTATCAGCACATTGATGTTGTTCATTTGGGTGGATATTTGTTGCAGCTGCTTGTATGACATGGGAATTGGCGGAATCTGGAACTGAATTCATTACTTCAGTTATAAATGGAGCCGATTTGGTTCCTACCTTTTCAGCTGCATCTGTAGACGATTTGCGTGCTGAGGTTCTGTTCTGTTTCAAAATTCTGCTGATGGTTTTCATAACTGATTTATGCATGTTTCTAAAGGGAACACGTAATTGTAACGTTTAGGTAACAGCATCTGCTTGGTTGAATGATCTAAGGAACCAAATTGAGCGCACTAGAATTCTTAGCACTGTTTATCGATCTGCATCCGCCCTTGGTTCTCGTCTTCCATCCATTGCCAGTGCCAGAGCCAGGGTTGCTGGTGCTGGTGCTATATTGCGTCCAGTCTCCAGCGGTACTCAGGTACACATATTGTAGTGGCTTCATTTCCCTTGCAACTTCCTCGCCTTTTTACTACCCATTGGTTATGAAATATCTTGTATAACATATAAGGATTTTCCCCATCGCTATTCTGCATAATAGCAAATAATCAAAAGCTCAAAATGTTTTGGCTTTTTTTGAGAAGGAACTCGTGATAATGTTAATCAGTTTGATATTAACCCACACGCCTTATCAAAAAGAAGAACAAAAAGTACTCTGTAGTTAACCAGCTTGGTTGGCGTGAGTGGCCGTGCACTTTCATCCCCTAAGAGAGGCCGGGAGTTCAAACCCCCTCTCGTATGGAAAAACCAATCTGGCTAGCACTTTGCCCCTTAATTGGGCCGGCCCGGTGCGAACGGGGATTAGTCTGAGTATGGTATGGGCTTAAAGGTGTCTCCTACAGTTAGGACATGCTCAGGACACCTCGTGGTCTAACCAAAAAAGTACTCTTTAGTTTTTTCGATGAGCTCCTGATTAACACAATCTATATTCTGTTGAATGATATTTTTTAATTTCAGGTTGTTATGAGGAGAGCCCAAAGCATGGCACAGGCAGCATTCTCGCGTCCTGCCCTACGTTTATCATGGTCATGCGTTGGGCCCCGTCGACGATCAAATACTTTTAACTCTGATAAAAGAGATGATGACTCAGAATCTTCCTCAACTCCAAGAGCTTCTGAACCTTTTCTGGTGTCCCCTGAGGAGATCTCAACTAGCACGGGAATGGAGCTTCCTGTATCATCATCCATGGGAATGCCATGGGATTCAGAAAGTGAACATTCTTCTACACCCGGAAGTAATCGACACAATAGCTTGGATCGTGATTTCGAGATAAATGAAGATGCCATGTCTCCTCGAGAACAGCAAGACCACATGACAGAGGTTCAGATGTGGCAAAAGCTAGAGCAAGAGCTGTATGATGGGGACGGAGATGAAACAGGTAGTGCGAAGGAGATAAGGGAAGAAGAAGCAGCAGCCATTGCTGAGGTAGGCGAGAACTCAAACGAAGACTCTGTTCCAGACACAAAGGAGGTACACAGATTCTTTCCCCCGGGAAGGATTATGCACATAGTCACGCTTCTGTCTGATGAGGAGGACAGCAGTGAAAGCGAGAGTAATTCATCTGATGATGACGAAATGGATCATAGCGGGCTAGAAGATTCAGAAGTTGGAATCTTTCTCACCCCAAGATCATTGTATAGCAAAATAAGGCTGTCCCAGACCATGATCAGCGATCACTTCATGCCAGTTTATAGACGGCGAATAGAGAAGCTGATTAGAGTACTTGAGGATGACAACGAGACCACCTGTAATTCCCCCCCGCATTAGAGAAACAGCAAAAAAGGAGATTTCTGATACGCGATACTCCACCAAAGAAGCTCTACACAAAGTGTTATAAGAACGACAGATTTGTAAGTTTTCGGTTGCAAATCAATATTGGATGACCTCAATTGCCTTTGTGTTGGAAACTTTAGGTGTGGTTGGTGAGGCTAACTAACATGCTGCTTCTATCTTTGACAAAAAAAATTTAACAAACTCTAGGTTTCAGGAGGATCTTTGTATATATACACACATAGGTTAGACTCTTGATTCTTTTTGTTGATTATACAATGCTGTATTCTCAGTAATTTATGTTCACTTCAACTGAACAAGGTATTCATCATCTTCAAATTAGTTGAATAAACTAGACAATTTTAAGCCAATTTTGTACTTGAAGCATTCCATGTCTTATGTAGTAGAAGCTCTGTAAAAAAAAAAAAAATGTAACATTGTCAATCACAATAGTCAAGTATGAAAGTGAAAATTTGGGAGGAAATATTAAAGTGAAATGAGATATAATAAATAGGTGGAGAAATATCAATCTTGTCATACGTTAACTACCTTCCACCTTATTTGGTACTCCATTTTATATTATTAATTTATTATACGTCAACCAAAATTTAGATCTAATAACCACAAAAATATTTTTATTACCCAAAAAATATATGGTCTATCAACTCTCATTAAATAATGTTTGATTGCAAGGATATAAAACATGCTTAATTTCACAAAATAATTTTATTAAAAAAAAGCAAAAAATATATGGTCTATCAACTGTCTCATTAAATAATGTTTGATTGGAAGGATATAAAACATGTTTAATTGCACCTTGCAAGGATATAATTTCAGTTATAATCTCTGTTTCACTCTAAACCCTCAAATTCAAAATTAATCAATTTCTCAACTATTGAAATATAATTTGTTTTTTAGCATATTGCATTGCTATTTGTACTCCGCATAATTGGACTAATCCAGTTAAGTTTCGGTCGGATTCATTTAAGATAAAATATAACACATTAATAAACATTAGAAAAATAATTATTTGATGTTACTACCATTTAAAAGGGGTGGAAAACATTGTATTATACCCCCCTATGTCACATTTTACCCATTTGTTATACTTTTCATTGGTTAAACAAACTATTAGTTTAATGACTTCGAGGTAGTCAGTCGGCGGACCAACACAATCATACAGAAACAACATACGTGTATAGTAATACTTTTATTGTCAAAAAGTAATAATCGAACCCCTTACAATTAGGGATGGCAATTCAACCCGTCCCTGATGGGAAAAACCGATCCCGCCTCCGATGGGGTGGGTTCGGGGAATTTTTTCGGGGAACGGGGGTGAGGAGGGGGAGAACTTCCTAATCCTCGCCCCCGTTGCCAGATTCTCTCCGATTTTCCTTTTCCGTTTTAAAAAGGGGATCTTGTATTTTAGGAAGGAAATCTGCATCTGATTTGGGAAGAGTTAAGGAAAGATTTCTAATCCAAATTTGTAAATAATTTTCTTTCCTTTCTTAGGGCCAACCGCCTATATATATAAATACCTTTTGAAGAACATATTGTAAGTTATTATATCTAATCTTTATCTTTATATTAATTATTCCTAACAACTTATTTATCATCAACTAAATAATAGAATCAATGTTTCAACTGAAGTAATTTTTTTTTACTCAATCCATGAACCAAACAAACCGTAAAAAGCTTTTTAAAGTTACTTTTAATTGTATCCGGTATTAATCCGCAGGTTATAATTTATAAAGGGTGTATGAAGTCCCTATTAAGTTGTTGATTACATACTCCAGTGTTGCCCCCACCCAATTTTATTCCTGGGAATTTGCTTATCACATTCCTATTACGCAGCAGCCAAGTAGGATATTGAATTTCCACACTGTTCAAATACGTGTAAACTCCATCCATCCATTTGGAAAAACAAAGTTATTAAAAAAATATTCGATTTTCCATATCGAATAATTATTGTGTGCTTTACAAAATTTCCTGATTCTCATAAAATGTTATGCATATACTAATATACATACATTCAGCTCATACTTAATTTTTAACCACTGTAGGCGAAAATAAGTCGATAAAATAAATTTATATACATATAACGAGATTTAAATTATAAGAAAATTAATCTCCATTGCAAAAATTGGTAAGAAATTAAAATGATTGAATTTATTTATACAAAATAAATAAATATGAAAAGATGGTTTTATAGACTCAAAATATAAACCCAACCAGAACGAAAGAAAGAATAAGGAGGAGGAATTCAAGCCATGAGTATATAGTGGTGTAAATCTACTTTCTGAATCAATGTGGGACAAAGACCACTTACAAGCCTTCACAACTTCTTTTGGCAAAGGAATTTAACTACCTTCGGTTTTCCCATGTGCTGAGAGAAAGAAACAAATGCGCTGATTACCTGACAAACTTGGGACAGACTATGGAGTGGGGTACAACAATTGTGATTGAGCCTCCGGAGGACATATTGGTGCTTCTACAGGCTGATGCTGGCGGGGCCAGCTCGAGGAGAATTATATAATTTTCACTTTTTGGACAGTGTCATTCTCACCAAAAAAAAAAAAAAAAACTTATTTTTTTCAATTTAGATGGGTCTATTTTGAGATTGAATTTCTCATTACCTATTATTAATTTTGAGCATACAAAATATCAATTTTTTCGTCTCAATGCGAATCACACACGAATCAATTTTGATCTGATTCAAATTGAAAATAGATCACACATATATTTATACCACAAAATAGTTATATAAATGTTATTTTATGCTAAAAATGTTAAGAATCACTACTCAAAAGTGAACATTAGATATACATATAAGAGAAATAAAATCATATAAGAGAAATAAACTGCAGTCGGGTAAAACCAAGAGTGAATCTCTCCTTTTTCAACGGAACAGAGGAATGGCTCGTCTGGCACTCGAAATTTTGCGGTCGGAATGAAATTCGCGATAAATTCGGGGGATTAAAAGCTGACGTGGATGGTCCATCAATCATTGAGATTCCTTTTCCTATTTATTTCCTTATTTCTTCATCCTATCTCCGTTAGCCTGTGCCTTCCATTCCCTCTGCATTTACTGCATTATCTCTCATCCCTTTCTTCATGCTCATATGAATTTTATCTCTTTATCTTTTGCTCATTACTATGAGATCTACAATGAGATTTATGTAACGGAAAGGAAGAGTTTGTGTATTTAATTGAGAAATATGCGTTCCACGGATTCATTTTTTGTGCCGGACGATGTAAAGGCGGAGGAAGGCGGGCGGGGGACGATTGAAGATTGAGTTTGCTGAGTATCCTCTTTGGAGAAGCAGAAGCGGAGACAATTTTTCTGTGGACAGTAATAATTTGTTGGAGGTTTTTATTCTGTCTGTTTAATCTCGGCTTCTGCTGGTAATTTCTTCGGACTTTTGAATCTGGTTTGATTTCTTCATTTCTGCGGTTTTTTTTTGATTGATTGATTGTTTTGGATTTGGAACAGCTATGTCGACCACGATTATTACCGATTCGGTTGTGGTGAACGCCGCCACGGTGGCGGCGGCGGCGCCGCCGTTAGAGGCGGAGTTCGTGAAGTGTGACTGCTGCGGCTTGTCGGAGGAATGCACTCAGGAGTACATAGAGACGATCCGCGAACGGTACCAGGGGAAGTGGATCTGCGGACTCTGCGCCGAGGCGGTGAAGGATGAAATCGTGCGCAGCGAGCGGCTGATCAGCGCGGAGGAGGCCCTGGCGCGGCACCTCAACTTCTGTAAGAAGTTCCGGTGTACCACTCCGCCTCCCAATCCAGCCGTTCACTTAATCGCCACGATGAAGCAGATTCTGAGGCGGAGCTCGGAGTCGCGGAAGGTCGCGTCTTTGCCCTGCAGTCCCACGAAGAACGCCGTCAGTATTAACCGTAGAGCGGTTTTGACTAGGACGGAGAGTTGCATTCCGAATCTACCTCCGGTGGATCATAGCACGGATAAGGAACCAGACTCATAAAAATAACAAAAATATATATTTAATTAAAAAAAAAAACGAAAACACAAAATAAATGTTATTTTTGAATTTTGAATTTTGATCTAAATGTAAACAATACTACCCTACTACTATGTAATATTTTCATTTTGAGTACATATTTATCAAAAATAAAAATCCAAAATATCAAAAAACGTGTTTATTACACTTGGTGGTACTTTCATATACTACGTATTATTTTGTGTTTAATTCTAAGAAAATATAATCTCACGTAAAAGCAAGCGTAGGAGTAGATAGGAAACAGTGTCGTAAATCTACGGCATTCAAACGATGAAGGCTTTGATTTAGAAAGAAAGAAATGCTGTGAATCATCTATCGCATTCAGAATAGAGGGATGGAGAAAGAACGTAGTAAAGTTTAGCAAAAGCCAGAAACATGATTCTGGACAGGGTAATATGCTCTATGCCTCTATTCATCTGATTCTTGGCATATAGGGCCCACTTAACTAGTGCTGTACAATGTTGTATGAATTATACATGGGAGTGTTTGTTAAAAAGGAAAACTCATGCATATTGCATGAACATTTATAGGACTGTAGAGTAACCTAATAAAACAAAACAGGTTAAATTGCTACTCCTATTTTTAATAATCTTATAAAAATTTGAAGAAGACTTTAAATTGATTTTGTATAAACATCGCAAGACATATGACTGTGCGTCAAGGAGAATTTGTTTTTTTGTTCAATGCCAATAAATGATAAAAAAAAATGTAAAGTGATAATGTAAATATAATATTGAAATAATCAGTTGGCGCATATAATTTGAAGGAATCTACGCGATCAAAATTCTTACACCCTCAGACTGATTCTTTTCCTTGAAGGCTCCAGCAAGGCATTATTTGAGATGAGTAAGAATATCTCATCTACTCATCCGATCCTTTGGTTGGTGTGCAATGCAAAGAGCCAAACATCGCCTTATTTTAATCATGGGGCCCCACCTCTCTCCATCACTTAGGGCACCTAACCTCAATCATTTCTTCTTATAAGCAACTAACAACCCAATCACGCCATCCACCATATTTTACCATATAATAACCTCGATTTCTTGAATCTGTTATCTAAATGACAAAGCAATTCATCTATATTTTAAGGAAACTAGGTTTTTTGTTTGCTTGGTATTATTATAAATCAAGTACAGTATGCCAATTATGACATAATATCAGGCCACAGGGCTGTTTGTTAATGTTAAGAGAAACAGGAAGCTTAATTAGTGCTCCATACCTGTGGACTGTGGAGGAAGTGGACAACTTCAATTGTGTGGAATATAGAATAAACCCTATCACTTATCATTTATAGCTAGTATCTTAAGGCGTTGACATACAGATGCAGACAAATGAGTGTGAA